GCGGGCCTCTCCCCCGGGCCCCCCCCGGTGTGGGGGCCCCCCCCCCCCCCCCCCCCCCCGGGCCTAGGCTGCTCCGCTGGAACGCAATTTTTTTTTTCCCCCACCCTCGGGCTGGGCTCATTGATGGACTTGGTCTTAAAGAAGTCCCTACCAGACAAGAGTGTGTCTGCTGGAGTTGGCTCCAGCGCATAAGAAGGCCAGTTGGTGTTTACCTCAGTGGTTGAGGTCTTTGTTTGCAAACCCCATGGCATTGGTTCGAATCCCCTTCTCGGTGGCCCCTCCGTCACTATCACGTGCGAAAAGATGCAGAAAATAGAACAACTTTGTATCATGGGAAATGTTTTATTAATACCGTCCCCAACGTTGGTGGGTTATGCAAGTTGGTTAAGTTAGTACGAACACGTGACTCTTGTACTTAAGTTCAATTCACTCTTGACACCTAAGTTCAAATCACTCCACTTTTTAATAAATTAGATTAATTTAGGACCCGTTGGATAACTATTTCAATTTTAGTTTTTATTTTCATTTTTTGTGCTAGAGTATAGAGGAAAATAAGAGTGAGAATAGGAGTGAGAGTATGATTGAGAGAGAGGATAAGAGGGAAGAGTAACAAAAATAAAAATAAAATCTTGAAAGTGAGAACAATTTGAAATAGATTTCAGTTTTTAGTTTTTGTTTTCACTTTGATTACATCCTCCCCTCTCATCTTCCCTCTCAATTCTATCTCCACTCTCATTCTCACTTCCATTCTCCCTTTTTTTCATCTACACTCTAGCACAAAAATTGTAAACTAAAAACTAAAATTAAAATAGTTATTAAATGGATCCTTAGATTATTGCTGGTATAAAAATAAGATGTGACATGTTGTCAGACTGAAGTGATTTAGACAATATTCATTCACGACATTAATTTATGAAACCAAAGTCAAAATTAAAATCATCCCTAAGAAGAAAATTAAAAGTAAGTTGTTTCAAAGCTATCAGTCATGCATTAAGGGGTACAACGTCATGAACTACTTAATGGTCTTGTGAAATACATCCTTAATAAAAGCATCAAGATTGGTGTCTGATGAGCCACCTTTAGCAATTGCTCCCTGACAAGTCTCTTGAAGTTGTTTGGCT